ATAATAATAATAATAATAATAATAATAATAATAATAATAATAATAATAATAATAATAATAAAAAATAATCCTGCATTGGTATTTTCTCATTTCCCCCGCCTAATTCTTAGCCAATACAATCCTAGCCTCTGTTTAAACCATTTGCAATCCAATATTATTTCAGCTCTCGGTTGTTAAGAGTCCCGGGATCATTTGACGTGTGTCATTTTTTTATTTTTTTATTTTTTGGGGGCTAAGTTTGATGGCGGGATGAGCGGCCATTTTCTTTACGGGATGCCGCCCAAGTCCCGATTCCCGTCCTGTAAAATGGACCCAATCGTAACAAATTGATACCAATATTCAAAAACGGTTCCTCCAAGCCAGCATCGTTTCTTGGGGATTTTTTGGGGGGGAGGACGGGGGACGCCCCGCCCCGGGGTGTGGTCACACCTGGAGGTTTGGCCACACCCCGGGTTGTGGTCACACCTGGAGGTTTCGCTACGCCCCTGGGTTGTGGTCACACCTGGAGGTTTCGCCACGCCCCCGGTTGTGGTCACACCTGGAGGTTTGGCCACGCCGCCGGTTGTGGTCACACCTGGAGGTTTGGCCACGCCCCGGGGTGTGGTCAAACCTGGTGGTTGGAAAGCTGGGGGTATTTTTTTGGGGGGGGTCGGGGGGGTACCTACCTGCCTTGACTTGACCCCCGCCCTTTCCTTTCTCTCCCCTCCCCTCCCCGCCAGTGCCCTGTGGGACATCGAGACGGGCCAGCAAACCACCAGCTTCACGGGCCACAGCGGGGACGTCATGTCCCTCTCGCTCGCTCCGGACATGCGTTGCTTCGTCTCGGGCGCCTGCGACGCGTCGGTCAAGCTGTGGGACGTGCGGGACAGCATGAGCCGTCAGACCTTCACCGGACACGAATCCGACATCAACGCGGTCTGCGTGAGTGCGGCGTTGGAGCCGGCGGGGGTGTGGAGGGAGGGAGGGAGGGAGAACGGGGGAGGAGGGTTTGTGTAGGAAACCCGGACTCCGAAGACCATGTTTGAGATCCAGGGGGGTCTCGAACCCTCTCTAACAAAGCGTAGTTCAACGTAGAGGAAGGTTCAAGGGAAGAAAAAAACCCAAATTACACAGCTGTAGACTTACTAGCGGTCGTTGTCCGAGGGATCTCGGAGTCTTAGTGGACAACCAGCTACATAGGAGCAAGTTGCGTGCGGTGGCAGCCACTACTACTTGCATTAACAAGGGGGTTACAA